TGAGGGGGCCCGACGTGATTGTGGAGGAAAGAACAAGTAGACCTAGAATTGATTGGCCATCGGGAGCACCCGAGCTTTCCCCGGTGTGCCGATTGTCGAAACCCCACCACACCCCCACATATTAAGCGCTGTTATTAAAGCCAAAGGATACATGTAGCCTACATTAGTTCTCGACACAAGCGCACAAGAAAGATTAATCCTTGTTTAGTGTCTGCGCTATTTCAGTCCAAAAGATATGAGCGTTAAAAATGTCTTTTACTCATTTACACTGGAGTTGTCGGTATCTTTTAATCGCCTCAGCTTTACTGTAGCGCAAGGGAAACAAACACTAAAAGCCAAGTGATGAAACGGCACTAAGTTACCTGATTAAACCACGCAGCACAAGAGAACAGCTGGACCACACCGGACCGGTGTCTCCCGCCCGCGACTCGACACTTTCGCCGTTCTATTGAAGTGATAATAAGCAGCACTTGCCCATTTGAATTCGACACACGACACTAATATGCGACACCGGACCACAAAACCAGTCATAAGGGTAAATATTTTGAAATTTAGATTTATACATCATAAGAAAGCTGAATAAATAAGCGTTCCATTGATGTATGGTTTGTTAGGATAGGACAATATTTGGCCGAGATACAACTATTTGAAACTCTGGAATCTGAGGGTGCAAAAATTTTTTTAAATCAAAATATTGAGAAAATCACCTTTAAAGTTGTCAAAATGACGTCCTTAGCAATGCATATTACTAATCAAAAATTAAGTTTTGATATATTTACGGAAGGAAATATACAAATTATCTTCATGCAACATGATCTTTGCTTAATATCATAATGATTTTTGGCATAAAATAAATATTTATAATTTTGACCCATACAATGTATTGTTGGCTATTGCTACAAATATACCTGTACTACTTAAGACTGCTTTTGTGGTCCAGGGTCACATATGTGAACAGTAAAGTCTCTGTATTGAAGCTAGCGAAAACCAGATTGAATAGCACCGACCATGTAAACTAAAGTGTCGAGGTCAACTGTAATTTATTATAGGTTACTTACAGCCTATTAAATATTTGGGTAAAATAAAGGCAATAACTCACTTATTAAAAGGTTTACTACTATGCATTAACTCTGGATTCATGAATTAGCTTTTCATTAGGGCAACTACAAAGGAGAATTTAATAGTTCTAAATAAACTTTAATTGCAGAAAAATATGAATTCAATAATTAAGAGTCTGCAATATAATGGAATATTAATATTGTTAAATGCATTTTAAGTATTAAAAAAAAATCAATTTCAAAAATAATTTATTTTTTTATTTTTTTATTCCAATTGCCCTAACCCCAGCAAAACATTTATGAGGGACTGTCTGGGCCAGATGGTCTGAATTTTAGAACCAGTCCAGCCCTGATGATTCTCTTCTTCTAGGGCCAGAAAGAAGACCTTCTAGTAATAAAACTATTTAAAGTAAACTCCTTAAGGGAGCTGTATATGCTCAAAAGTTGTATTTGCTTCTGGAAACCTGTTTGCTTTGACTTCATATATTTGGTGTTAATGTATTTATTCTTTTAATTTGTTGTAACCTGTAATATTTAGTGTGTATACTCATTGTATCTCTGTGTGTTGGAGATTTGATTTAAAAAACAAAAAACAAACAAAAAACTAATTATTCCTGTGGTAGAAAACGTGGCACCAAGATAGGCTACTATGAAGGGGGCCCTTGGGTTTGCTATAGCCCCAGGGCCCTATGTGTTCTTAATCCGGGCCTGATCACATTTGAATCTGTTCCAAATGTATCATTTTGGAATGTACACTACCGTTCAAATGTTTAGGCGTTACAGTAAAAAAAATAAAATAATAATAATTGTTTGTCCAAAACAATTGTATACTTTTATTGGAAGTAGAATGTAATGGAAGCTGTAAATTAGTTATTTATTTAAAGTTATTTTAAATTGTAAGTAATATTTCACAATATTACAGCCATGCTGCACTGATGAGCATAAGAGACTTCTTTCAAAAACGAAATCTTGCCGACCCCAAACTTTTGAACTGTAGTGTATTTTTACGAAATCACCACAAGAGTGTGACAAAACATCAAGAACATATTACATTAACAGTACTGTTGTGTGTCACCAGATGCTGCACTATGCTTGAGTGTGATTGGTCATTGGTATTAAGTGCTCTCATATTGTTTGACAATGATTTGTCAATTATGTTAAGTGCTTTCTTAAGTGTTCTGAGTGTGACTGGTGAGTAACTGTGTTGTATATATACTTTTTGTATATAAATGCATGCCATGTACTATAAAAAACAACTGATTGTATCGCATCTGATTAGTGCTATCAAAATAAATATTTATTTAAAAATGGATGGGGCAAAAAAAAAAAAACTACATACATTTGCGTGAGAATGAATTTGTGAATTTCATGAGTGACTGACTATTCAGAAGAGCTCTGACTAAAACAACACACTCTGACAGGAACTAAGAGCACACACACACACACACACAGATGGGAACAGCAGTGGAGCATTAGGATTTAGCCGTGTTTATATACACAGACAGCAAAAATCCTCAAAAAAGTTCAGTGGCAAACATGTGAAATATTTGACTGAAAGCAGTCCACACACACTTCCTCTCTTCAAGCACACGGTGTTAAACAGTCTCCCTAGATGGGAGGAAAGAATCATGTTAATTGCAGGTTCTTCCCACAGCTGGTTTGTGACAATTTCAGTTTCTGAGCACTTTTAATTAAAATACCAGGAACAAATCTCTTTCTTTCTCTTCCTCTGGTCACTATCTTGAGCTGACAAAGCCAAAAGGTTTCATCCTCTATTTATGCAAACACACACAGGCATGTTTTTTTTTTTTTTTTGATTACTCCGTTGACCTGTA